TTCTCTATCTTCATCTATCTGCATATCTATCTCTTTTTCGCTGGCTTCTTTGCCAGACTTATATACTAAACAAGAGGGCGTATAGCAAATACTCAGAGATTCGCGGAGTTCCCCGATAATTCTGGAAACTCCAGTGCGCATGCTCCCAGCGTCACGCTACTTCCGCTGGCGTAACAATATAATTCAACCCAAACTTTGGTCGGTCATTCATTAATTTTAGCAGGGTGCAAACCGTTCCTTTTGAAATGAAGCATTCTGTTATAGAAGTGTAAAATTTAAAATATAGGGACTTCCCCAAATTAGCGAAAATATGCACTTTTTCAGCTTGTAATCATAACAAAATTACTGATACCAAATATTTTATTCATCAATATATATTTACTAAAGTACATTTGAAAATATTTTTTGTATAAACATTTAAATGTAGTTTGCAACGAAGCGATTTGGTTGAACGGTACCGGTACAAGTACTTACGGGTTAATTTGCCTCGAAGGTTGAGTGTTTACGGTGGATCTGAGAAACTATGGTTCGCACTCCGTTCTCCAAATAGAAAAACTTTCGGGCCGTCGGTGTGTGTTTTAAGAGTGACAGCCACATCCCTGTATTCAGTGTGAGTCGAGTAGCTCAAGATTTGGCGGTGTGTGGTGTCAACTGGCCGCCTTCCCTATAGTCTATCACTTTAAAATTAGGAACGACCAGCAAAAAAATAGCCCTCGAGTAGCTTTGAATGATATTCAACAAAATAAACAAAGAATATGCCTCCCTCCCGCCTAGTTTTGGCCCACCAGATATGATCGTCTGGTGGATAGGATGCCGTCACTTGTATATATCCCTGGTGGATAGGATGCCGTCACTTGTATATATCCCTGGTGGATAGGACGCCGTCACTTGTATATATCCCTGGTGGATAGGACGCCGTCACTTGTATATATCCCTGGTGGATAGGACGCCGTCACTTGTATATATCCCTGGTGGATAGGACGCCGTCACTTGTATATATCCCTGGTGGATAGGACGCCGTCACTTATATATATCCC